TTAAGTTGAAATAAATCGCTTGCCATTTGATCCAATTCCTCATTGGCACATAAAGTTAATATATATATATATATATACTCCTACTGTACTTGGTTTGGTAACTTTGGTATTGTGGTTTATCGTTTACCATCATAATTGGTGATATGTAAGTTGAAAAAGTGACGTCATCAGCTTAAATACTTAGTCGTAGTCTCTTTCTGTTAAAAATAATGGTATTGAATTCGAATCGCATATCATATGAGTGAAGTAAAATAAAGGGTGAAAAATAGTTGTTTCTCATTATATAACAAAAAAAAATTGTTTTTTGAAAAAGCAGTAGCTACTAAGGATTTTACCACATATTATAAGTTGTATTAGTATTTCTCAACTGAGAAAAAGAAAAGGAAAGAAAAGAAAGCCTTATTAAATAGATATTAATCTCAATTGTTTTATTATTAAGTGAAAAAAATACTTTAAATTATATTATTTTAATAAAATATTATAAAAAAATTAAAATAATCTTATTTTAATTTTACAAACTATGATATTTTATTTTTTTAATAAGAATTAATTCAAATGATGCTTTAATTTTTTCTAATGAAAATTTATTTAAATGACATAATTTTTAAAATATTTTTTACTAAATTTTTTACATGTCAAACTAATCAACATTTTTCTCTTATAACTTATTTGTAAATAACAATACTCCAATATAAAAAGAGCATGACTGATACGAGTGATATCATAATTTAAATTTAAATTCAAAATTTAATATTTAAAAGTTGAATATTATTTTCTAAAACCCTCATCTTAAGAACTCACTTCTTCCACAAGTCTTTAGGGTATGAGTGTACAAAAAATAGTTAAAATCTTGTTAAATAGAAATAAAACATAACTTAAAACTTTAATGTGTAGTTATCATCCCATTTTCAAGTGTTACTACACGTTATTGTTGCATACTTATTTCTATATTATTCTAGTTAATGGTTAAAATTTTAAAACATTAATCTCATTTAATTATAAATTAATTAATTAATTAAAAAAATATTTTAAAATAACATTAACACTTTATCTCATAAAAAAATGACATTAAGCATGAGGTGTGACAATATATTATCTAATTTCACGAAGGTACCATTTCTGAATGCTGACATAAAAAAAGGGGCAAGAGGATTACTAGCAAAAACAGATCTGGCAACAGCCACCTCCAAAAGCCATACGTTCAACTTTCTCATTCACAAAAGCCCATGGAATGAATCGAGAAGGGAAAGCCAGCTGTAGCAAATTAGAGAAAAACCTGAAGAAACAAAAAAAAAAAAAATATATATATATATATATATATATATATATATACTCCTACT